GGATTTGGTTGTTGGCCATATTTTCGAATTCGGTGTTGTGGAAAGGGTGGGGACAGTGGTTTGGCGAGAAGCTTAAGCTCAAACAAAAAATTGATGCACCAGAACAGTTTTTGGCCATATGATATAAAAATACCAACTCTCGGTGTACCTTCTATTTTTTCTACTTTAATAATTAATTTGTCTTAATCTTTTTTCTGTGTAAAACCCACGACATGTTAAATAAATGATAAGAATGATGCATCGATCGCAATTCGTGATTCTTGGGTAGACTCGTCAAATCTTAATAATTACTGTACTTTACACATGAGGCATAATTTATTTATTTAATCGATCATGTACAAAAAAAATGGTAATCAAAAATTTACATATCAAATATACAGCTTATAACTACAGTATATAACTACAGTATATAACTAAACTACAGTATATAACTAAACTACAGTATATAACTAAACTACAGTATATTCACATGGAATCAAGCACAAGTATCCATCACAAAACTACTTTGACACCCACCGCATCCCATCGTTTCACATCCACTCGAATTTTGTTCTTCGTAAGCATGATCGCAACAATCTGCTTGACATAGTTGTTGATCGGATTGAATTCCTTGGTTCATTAGATGTGGGATTCCACAGGGTGCAGGAATTTCGCACGCTGCAGGGATTCCACAGGGTGCAGGAATTTCGCACGCTGCAGTACTTCCACACGGTGCATGAAATCCACACGGTGCAGTACTTCCACACGGTGCATGAAATCCACACGGTGCGGGACTTCCACACGGTGCGGAACCTCCAAGGAATGAACAACTTCGTCTCAACAAGTGTAATCCTCTCTTTCGCGGAACACCTGAGTTTCCATTGTCAAAGTGTCTTCGAAGAATGACATTATGATTATTCATATAGGCATTGCAACTTTCCACTTCGCTCTCATTATTATCCATTTCAGCCATATTATGACTGCCGATCGCCTCATTTGAAAAGGAGTTTTCGGCGCAGCAGTCGGAGTTCATGAATAATCTCTTTTGCTCTCTCATGCCGGCGCTTCCTGCCTTGCATCGTTTTCGGTTCACCGCCACGAACTCTTGTCCGTTGTCATTCGAGAGCTGTGTTTGGTGGCTTTCTTCGGAACATTCACCAACACCTTTATCGCAGCAATTAGCATGTTGAATTTCATTATTTCCTTCGTTGGCCGCACTATAGTACATCGGAGATCGTTGAAAGATGGCCTGAGGTGCTTCGCGCTTACAAACCAAAAGATTTGAATTTTCGTTTTGACTGCAAAAGGCGACTTGTTGTTCATTTTCATCGCAACATTCTAGGGCATGATTGCCACAACATGCGGATTGATAGTCTGTATTTGAACAACACGAAGCATCCTCAATAAATTTTGGACCGGAACAAATGCCTCCGCCACATGCAGGGGGAAACATAGGAAGACACGCGGCTGTATCGCAAGGATTCCGTGCTAGGAAGTTGGCGTTAGGCAATGGGTGTACCACTGTTAAGGTGGCAAGAGTAAAGGAGATGATGTAGTGGAATTTCATTTTTATGTTTAGACAAGATATCTTCTCTTCCTTGGATAACACTGAAGAGAGGACATACCGAGTTTATATAGAGATGGAATCAATGTATCCTTTGAATTCGAAATTAGCAAACGACAAGGTTACATTAACGAAGATAATGTATCAAATAATTAAATTGATTAATGTATCAAAACCAATAAACAATATCCGTGTCGAGTTACCCGCCATATCTATCAAGTTATTCAAGGCAATTTCGAAATAATCTTAATCGATCCATTTACAGTATTTCATGCGGCCATTAAATTAATTTGATTAAGAAATAAACCCAAAGTTGATTTATTACGTGACTGCAAGATTAAAGACTATTTGCATTACCTATCTTGATGCATAATGAAGTTGGTATATGCGCGTAATACTGTGCAATACATCCAAGTTCGATTCGATCAATTTTAATTATTAGCCAATGGATGTTTTATTCAAGGTATCCACTTCGTTACTGAGAAATAAACCCAAAATTTTTTTTAAAAAAAAAAAAAGTCTCAAAAATCAATTTATTAAACAGAAATTTGACGCAAATAATAATAATAGTAAGAAAAATACATTTAGCGTGAAGGGGGTTATAGTGGGAAACAGTAATATGATAAATAACATTATTATAGATATAAGGAAAATGAACACGAGATAAACTTCATCGAGGTAAAGGTAGAGAAATGGTATGAATACGTATGAATGAAATGTAGACGGAGGAAAAAATTGTAATTGCTCTAATTAGTAATGGTGAAGTCGCCGGATGTGCCGAGAACGGAGGGATTACTCTGGAGGCTGACCGTAGCTTTGAAAACACTTGAGGAATCCCATCCATCGCCAACTGTGAAGCCGATGTTACCGGTTCCAACAGATTTCTGAAATTAAAAGAGCATATAAGTTTGCGGTGATGATAAATCGAATGAAACTTTACAAAGGTGTGACATTACAGTATCCTTAAAGACTGAGTTGCCACTTTTATCAGTAATCTCGATAACAACAATGGCTATTTAATAAAAAATTTCAAATTCGTTAGTAAATTCTGATAAATTTTTCATTTCACTAAAATTCCTAGAGAACTTACCGTCACTGGCAATATCTGTACTCCACCAGCTAACAGACTGAAGAGATCCCTTTTTCCAAGGACCAGCTCCTGGTGAAGTGACGGTAATCGATTGGCGATCCCTACGAAGCAAATCTGGCGCGGGCATGGTAAATACCATGGAGGAAAGCGCGGCAAGAGTGAAAAGGATTACCATTAGATACTTCATCTTTATATTTATTAAATGAAGATGGTTTGAATAGATGGTATGTTTAGAATTACTTTGGAGATATTTGGTTTTTATGAATGATTATTTATATAATTTTTTGTAGAACGAAGACGAGATCACCTTTTCATAACTTTGAGTATCTTCGCTTATTCTAAAGCTCCAAGCCTCGTTTCCCTCTCAAAGAATGTGTCAAGGCTCACATTTCCGAAACACAGCCTCTCACAACACCTGTATTTCCAGCTAAAAAAGCCCTATTCTGGTTAATTTGGGATATAGAATTTAATTTACTCGATCCAAACTTTGAATTAATAGATCGGAATAATTACGAGAAATTAATGTTTGTATTGTATGTTTCCTGAAATGTTCAACGATCTGTGGTGGCTTATACAGTATTTGTTTTACTTGCCAGAAAATCTCGATCGATTTGTGGTGGCTTGGTAAAGAATTATGGCTTGGAAAAGACGATTACAGGTTGATTAGTGAATTTCTTCATGAAAGATGAATTTCGAAAGACTTTGAATACATTACTTTTGATTATGAAAAATAAATGATCCACTATAATACCGACACAGCCTTTTTGTTCAAATACATAAATGTAATCGCGCGATATTGTGCTGGAAAATGGCGGCGGATGCTATTAATAGAAAGAAATTGTGCAAATATAACCTCAATTTCATCGTTTATCGCATAACCAACAGAATCTCTTGCGAAGTTCAGCCACATATTCAGGTTATAATTAGTTGCAAAATGAATTGTTAATTAACAATTCATATTATATAGATTCTTTTTTAAAATTTATTCGTAATATCCTATTATGCGATAAGAAGTAGATTGAATAAGGAGCAATTAAATAAGTCGCAAATTATTTTATACATTTGGATGCAAGAGGCAACTGTTATAAATTAAACATAATTTTAATAGTGTCATTTGATGTATTTAATTTAACACAATTAACATAATTATCGGCGTTCTATTGACGAATTATTTTATGTTAAAAATCATTGTATATTGTTTTTACCATAATATTTACGAAAAATTTTTGTTTCTACATAAAAAAGTTTTAAAGAAAGCGATCTTTTTATTTCCAAAATCACATTTAAAAATTCTAAATTTAAAACAGGCGTTCTAATATGTAATTAGATTATTATTTGCTCATTTGATTAATGAAATTATTTGTCTGAAAAAAAATTTTTTATTAAATTGTTGAATTGTTATTTAATAAATTAAATGATCTTAAGATTTTTTTATTTTTCATCTTAAAATTTTATTACATAACTTATTATTACCCTTCATTTATATTACTGTATTTTATTATTATTAAATTCAATTCCAAGTTAGGCAATAATATCAAATGTACATCTTTATTTCTGCATTTGTAAAAAAAATTTTAAATTTATTATAATAAAAAAAAATTTAGGCTGCATAAAGATAAAATCTTTGAATTTCTATAGTTTCAAAAATTAAAATCACATAAACTTGCATGGACTTGCATATATATAAAAAACATAAATAGATTATAATCCACCTATTAAATTTATTATAAAAGCTAAAATCAAATGGAATTGAATACAGAATTGTTAGGATCCTTAACTAATAGTATATAATATTTTATTAAGTTATTTATATTCAATTATATAATTAAAAAATCTATTTAAATTAATCCATTCTTTCACCTATAGTTTTATTCAATTATATCAATTTTACTTATTATATAAGTAAATCAATATATTAAGTAAGATCTTTAGAAAATAGAAATTCTATTACTAGTTTTAAATATATATGTGGTGGAATTGAATTTTATCATTTTTCAAAAATCATATTATGGTAGAATTACTAAATAACATATAGTAAATAATTGGAATTCGTATTTAATTCGGAATCGTATTATCGATCAAATTTCCTTTTATAATAATACAACTACATGTATGGTTTTAAACCATCTAATCTAATCTAGATTCTAGCAATTGTTATTTGAAGCATATACCTTTCAAGATTAATTAGAATATCCAAATAATCTGTTCAATACTTTTTATCTGAAACCTTAAAAAAGATATTATACTCTTTGTCACCACCTATGGCTTTGAATTTTCTTTTTCATCAAATTTTCTTCTTTTAAGTAAGTATTAAATTGGAATAATCCCAGGCTAGAATGTTCTTTATACTATAGAGTCTATTATATTTGGGATTGTGAACTTTTATTGAAGCTAAACCAGAAGTCTTTTTTTATATAATCTTTCCTATTTTAACCTGTTTTTAGCTTATAATTATCAGAAAGATTAAAGGTTTCATATTTATATAACCTAGTTAAATTTAATCAAAATTCAGATGTTTGAATATAATATTTATAGAAAATTAATTTTTTTTTTTGATGAAAGGTATAAATGTATTGATTTTTATTAAAAATTTATTCTAATATTGCAATTATATAAAAGATTTATTTAAGTTAATCTATCCCTCACACCTATTTTAACCCAGCTATATAAACTTACCACTGTAAAGATAAGGTCCACATATTAGATAGGACAAATTTAGGAGGTGGGAAGTCCTGCCACCAGTTTAAATCCAACCTTTTTACTAAGTCCTAATTTGGCAATCTTGTGACTGTTTGCTGTCGAAGATCCTGTATTTTGCAAAATTAATTAGAACATCTGGATAATCTGAATACTTTTCACTTAGTTCTTCAGAAAAGGTACTTGTATTCCTTGTCATCATTTGTGGCTTCAAATTTCCTTTAGGAATTCTCTTCTTTTAAGCAAGCATTGAATTGGGATAACTCTAGGCTAGAGTATTCTTTGTGTAACAGAGTTTGCCATATCAGGAGAAATGAGTTTTTAGACTTTTATCAGAGTTAAACTAGAAGCCTTTTCTTATGCAATCTTTCCTGCTTCGACCTGTTTTCAGTTTGCGATTATTAGAAAGATCAGAGATTCCATTTTCATGCAGTCTAACTTAATTTGGTTATAATCCAGATGTCTGGATATGCCATTTGTAACAAACTGATAAACTTATAAATGAAGAT